TCAAATCAAAGATTCAATACCAATCAGAATAGCTACAAAGAAAATAAAATATCTAGGAATATACTTAACCAAGGAAGTAAAAGATGTCTACAAAGAGAACTATGAAACATTAAGGAAAGAAATTGCAGATGACACAAACAAATGGAAAAACATACCATGCTCATGGATTGATACAATCGACATTGTTAAAATGTCTACACAACCCAAAGTGATTTACATATTCAATGCAATCTCTATCAAAATACCAACATCATATTTCACAGATCTAGAAAAAATAATTCTACTCTTTGTTTGGAACCAGAAAAGAGAATAGCCAAAGCAATTTTAAGCAAAAATATACAGAGGGTACAAAAATATATATGTACACATTTTAAGAAATGAAAAAACTATTAAAATTGTAATACTCAATATATACCAGTAACATTTGCTATCTTGTACATTGTATCTTATATTGCTTGTAACTGCAGAAGTCAAACATGTCTTGAGTATTACAATTTTAATACAATTTTTTCCTTTCTTAAAATGTGTATACATTTTCTCTGGCATCCTCTGTATATATATATATATATTTATATATATATATATATATGTGTGTGTGTGTGTTTGAAACAATAAGACAAATGTTCACAGGATTCCTCTCAAAGGGTTTTCATGTTTGTGTGATGTGAGAAGAAGATCTGACTTCATTAAAATCCAGAATTATGCGTACTGTGCATGTATTAAAAAAGCAATGTTATCCAAAACACTGTACTGAATAAACAAACAACCGTAGATGATTTCTACCCTATGAAATGAACCAGCTGGCCTCATGTGACACACAGGCCATACTATCATGTCTGAAGGTCTTGTTAACATGCTGAAGGCAAGGGATATATATGGTTTGTTGAATGATCTCTAGAATTCAATATGACAATCTTAAGCTCTGACAAATTTGTTGACTACTCTAGTGGATAGCACTATTAGGCTTTTCTAATAACCCCTCTCTTATACTTTCAGAATGTGTACATCAGACAGTGATAGCATTATCAGAATGACAAAATGTCCATACAGTTCCATTATAGAGGTACCACACCAAAAAGTTACCCAAACTACTTATTCAAAAATTATTAGTAGAAGAAGCAGGTATTAATTTGAGTCTGAAGAATAGTAATATGAGCCTAGGGATATAGACAGAGTAATTTCTGTAAATATGTAACTCAATCATTGGTATAAAACAATAAGAGGGCAGCTGGGTATCTCACAAAGGAGAAACCATAAATGAAGTTATGAAAATTATTTAATGAATTCTGTGACTTTTTTATTGTTGATGTTTATACAGAGAACAAGAATTTAGTATTAAGTAGTTGGGAAGCTTACATACTAACAATACTTTTTTTTTTTTTTTTTTTGA